CATTCTTACATTCACACACGTCGTCTTGTTGAAACATCCCTTATACACAACTTTCCTAATACGAATCTTAGTCGTGGCTTTGTCTCTGTAGATGCCTTCTTTTCTCCAAACTTCAGAACTCTCGTGACTTGACCTCATCTTTATCCCCTCTTCGCCTTACTTCTTCTTTCCAACATCTTCCTTTCCTTTCCTTTCTTCTGCCTAGTTGCGTTCTGTCCAATGAGTTATTTTTCCTGGGGATCTGTCATACCTATTTATGTTGTTCCTAGACTCCCTCCACTACTACTACTACTACTACTACTACTACTACTACCACCACCACTACATCTACCACTGCTTTTACAGTCATACTACGACCTTTTCTCATTCTACAACTTCTGGCCCCGCCCCTTCTTGTACATATACTAGTTCCCTTCCCTTCGTGTTTCTGTGTGACTAGTTGATGGTTGAAGTCGAACTGAAACGTTGTCATAAGTTTTATTTTGCAATGTGCACATTATCTATGTTAAGTCACCACTAGCAAACATACGCACAGACATAAACACGTGTAAACACACGTACAAGAACCAGTGCAGGTTTTAAAATCACTCATAAACGACAAAGAAATATTTATAAATATTTAAATTTTCAACAAAAAAAAAATTATATTCAGTATTTCTAACTTTCTTCCAACGTTGTCAAAAATTTTCTTCTTACTTATCTTGAACGCATGAGAGAGAGCAGCTTGTGGCATCCTTGCCTGAGCAATGGTTTTTTCTTTCCAGCTTCTCGAAGTCTTTATTGCATCCCTATATGTGGGCTGACATCCGCCAGACTCGAAAAGCATTTTTATGACCAACATTGGAATTATTGGTCAAGAAGGGGAAAGAAATGAGGATAGTTCTGTGCAATGATTACATCACCATCCACCTGATAGATCTCTCCATATGTCGTTTCGAATGGTTGTCATGCAGCATCTTTCCTAATCCTACATTCTGATCTTTCTCTCCACGTACGCCCAGGTCTCCATCCACTTCCCATCTCTCGATTAAAAGCTCCATCCTAGAACAATATTGGTCGCTGCAAGGAGAACCAATTAAATGTTTTGTACAAATATTGGAGTTTTGCAGATGAAACCTAGTAAACGTCATTTATAGAAACAAGAGTGAGGTAGGAATAAGAGCGGGAGGAGGAGGGAAGAAATGAATATGGGAATAATAGAATAGAGAACAATGAAGGGAGAGTGGCGATAAAGAAAATACAAGAACTAGTCTCGTTGAATACTTCTGTTATTTCTCCAAATTCGTGAAATGTTTTCCCAGGTACGAGCTCCAGGCTGATGCTGCGTACTACAATGTGAGCCTGACATATGTTGTATAAAACACCCGAATGACTATTTGTTGAGATTCCTGAAGACCACTCTCAGTTTTACCATGCGAGCATTGGCTGCAGAGGTTATTGGGTTGATGGGAGTCTCTGGTGGTATGATACACACTATGTTTATTCTCACGTTCTTCTCTTTGAATGAGTTCTGTAGCCTTTGTCCCCGGGGTCTATATTCTGTGTTCGGTCTTCTGCCATCTTCCTCAATTTTCATAACCTGGCATTTTGTGGAGTTGAATTCAAGCAAACCTATTATGTGACTAACCTGCAGTTTGTCCAGATACTCTTACAGCCTTTCCACCTCCTCATCTGTCTGCATTCTCATCATTTTTTACATCATCATCGAATAGAGATACTTCTCTCTTAATTTCAGAAACAGCACAGGTAATGAAACATCACTAGTCCTAATACCGATCACTGTGTACTATCACTCTTTGCTTCCTTTCCCGAAGTTACGCCTTTATCCACCGGGGAGCGTTCCCATTCCTTCCTTCCTACGTCTCCAGTTTTAGCAGAGTACAGTATAAGATGCCTTTCTGAAGTTTAGAAAAGTCAATATCCCCGCCCCTCTTTTGTCTCACTTCCGTTAAATTGTCATAGAATTCCAAAAGGTTGGGAAAACAAGACCTGACATCTTTGAACTCGTGATGGTTGTTGTATATGAATCCACTTATCTCCTCGTACTCTACCACACTCTTTCTGACTAACCTCTCTATTTCCTTGCATATTATACATGTCAGCACAGTAACTTCTAGATCAATGCTACCTATCTTCTTTCTTAAATAAAAGTACTAAATTCGTTGTCCTCCAGCTCTATGGCAAATGTCCTGTGTTCATCGACATTTTGTAGACCATAGCTAACAGTGCGGATAGTGCTGCTACTCCCTCTCGCAGAATCTATGGTGATACCCTCTCCGGGCCCAACGTTTTTGATGTATTCATCTACATCGAAAGATTATTTTACCTCTACTCCTGTTTTATGTATGGTGTCCAGTATCTGCTGATGTATATTCTTTTCCCTGGGCTTTCTAGCATTGTCCCTGTTTCCACTGAGAAGACTTCCTAAGTTGTTTGTTCAGCGCATCGCAGATTTTCTGTTTATATTCCGTGAGCTCTTCTCCTGCCTTCTTCAGTCAAATTACCTAATCTTTTACCATTGTTTACCTTCTGATGTGGTTGTGAAGCAGTGTTGTTCAGACGTAGCCTTGGTCGCTATGTAGTACTCAAATTGTCGCTCAGCCTCTCTCCTTACCCTTGTGTATTCATTTCTGGCTAATTTGCTGACTTCTCTGTTCTCATCTGTCCATTGCTTCCTACAGTTTTTCAATGCTCTTATTTTTTCACTTTTTTTTTTGTTTGCCTCTCTGCATCTTCGGGTGAGCCAAATGCTCTCTTTGTATTTTCTGTTTCCCATTCTTCGGGAAACAGGTATGAAGTTTCAGTCTACCCTCCAATTATTCCCAACTACATATCTCATCATCTCCAATGACTTTCCCTCCAGTTCCCTCTTCCACTGCACTACATTGAAGAATTCTCTCAACTCATTTCTACAAGGATCTCTCTTCTAAAGTCTCGCTTCTCTCAACCTCAGTATTCAAATCTATCCTCTACATTTAGTTCTACAAGGAACTTGAAGTTAAAGTGTTGCATAGTTGCTAGCGCTCAAGGAAATCTTGTAATCTATTCCTCCTGTGCCAGACGTACTTGGGGTGAACACTAGGCCTAGCCTTGCTGACAAATCTTTACCTCTCTCTCTTTCGTCATATCCTTAATATGTGTGCGCATGAAGTTTTCCCCTTACCACCTCCATCAATTAACCCTCCAAGTTTCCAGTCTTCCATGTGGATCTCGGTTTCCTCAGTCTATTCCTTTATCGATCTAGTAACCAAGATATGCAATTGCCTCAGTCCTTTGCACGCTCCTAGCTGGTTCATCTATGTCTGTCATCCCTCGTTTTATTGCTTTTCTGTTCTTGCCACGATCTTCTGTTGTTAAGTGGTGGGTTGTATATAACCACAATTACTACTTGGGACCCCCAGTATTAACTGAGTCCTCTATGAAGTCGGGCACCTCTTATCTGTGTATCCCTCTCACTTCTTAAAAACTCAAAAGATTTCTGATTAAGTGAGCTACTCCTCCGTCTCTGTTACAAAATTCGACTAAGTGAAGGTATCTCCAGAGAATACTAGAATCTAACCTGTTTCTCATTTTGTAACAATTTATAAGATAGTATTCTAGTACAGTTTTTCCGTAAATGATGCGGCTTCTCAACAACGCTTTTGGATTGCAACCGAATGTATACAAATCAACCAAATAAAAGTTGAGATCTTTAATAACAAAGGTGTCTAGGTGGTAATAATTACAGTTAATGTAAATTGAATTATTAAGGAGAAAAGCTCCTACACAAGTCTTCAAGTATATTGTATTATTCTTTTGAATGACAATCTTAATCTTTACATATAAGCATATGGTATAATAAGAACATTAATACCTTTACACTATAATACTCTTAATATGTACAATCAGGTACGTTGCTATGAGTATGTATGTGTGGATATATGTGTTTGTGCTCGGTAATATAAGGTAATGCTTGGTATGCTTTCAGTCAGGCTTGACTTAGAATGTGACTGACAGCAACGAGTCCCTGGATAAGTTAACTTCTCAACCATCAAGTTATCAAACAGCTTGCTTGAACGATATGATGACCCCTTTGCCAAACATCAGTAATGCTCGAAGCAGCAGTGAACAGCGCAACGTCAGGCAAGGAATCAAGGAGACTAAACACAACATTTACTGGAGAACCATCATCAAATCTTCCCTGAATAGGCAAAATTCTCATATTACTGAAACTGAGTTCAGCAGTTCCAAATTCCCGACTACGGTAGTGCGTAGATGCCAGAACAAATGTAGTTCGAGACTTGAACTCGGGACCTGAGATACAGAGATTATCTCACGACACATCACCTCTGAAAACTTCAAATATCACTAAGTCCAAATAAGGCTTTCTGAACAGAGTTGCACAATGTAAGTCAAATAATAATATAAAGCCTCCTGAAATTTTCATTTTAGCTATTAATGAAAACATCAGCAATATAACATTATGAAAAAGCAATATACACAATATATTTATGGTGTCCTTTTCATAGGATGCAACAGTCTCCCCTTTTTTTCTATCTTTACCTATCACTTGATACCTAACTGGAAAAATGGAATCTGATATCATGTCAGTCAACTTTGTGATGGCTATGATGCCTGCTTTTACCTCAGCTGTTCATTACTTCAGCTAGTCACTCTGGTTGGACGACCCATCTGCGTTGGTGTACCACACTCTTAACTTACCTTCCCTTATCGTACACAGGTCTATTTTATCCACTAACTCTTCTTGATGCTTACCCGACAGGAGTGTGGGAAGTAGGACTGGGTTGATTTGTGCATCACTATTGGGTGTGTAACCTAAGCCACACTTTCTCACCCTGACATGGGCCACACTCCCTCACCCCTGACCTGGGTCACACTCCCCCTCACACTACACTGGATCTCGCTGCCTCACACTATAGTGGGCCACACTGCCTCACACTGTATTGGATCACACTCACCCCTAACCTCTGACACTACATACTACATAGCTAAGTACCCACCTGGTTTAATGCAGCTCAGGCCACACACTCCGTCACACAGACAAACCTTTCTTCGGCTAAGGCAGTCCTCGTCCTTGTTACATTTTCGTAAGCACGTACGTCCCTGGTGGGTGAAAAGAGCAGACAGTGAATGTTATGTGAGAGTGAAAACTTTTGTTTTACGACACGTGAATGATGAATTAAGGACGTACGGTTCTTAACAAGTGGATGGAGAGGGACTTGTGCAACTGGGTGTGAAAAGCGGACGTGTAGTGGTGCGCGGAAGGCGTTGTGCGTTCCTGTGGGAAGAAAGAACGGACGGGTAGTGTAAGTGGCTGTGGAAACGACAAGTACGGCTACTAGTGCATTTTTGAGTACTTATGCCTTCTTCGATGGGTGTAGGAAGAGAGCAGACAAAATAGATGACTAGTGGAACGTGTTTGGGAAGGAAAGAAGGAAAAGGAATGTAAGCAGAGATATTACCTCATGCAACAAAAATTTCATATTTGAAGACGAGTCTATAGAAACACGTTTATAAACGTGAAAAATGGTGCGCAAGGTGAGGCATCTGTATACAAACATTTCTCCTCGTGTGGAATTGAGCGAGAGGCGAGATGTCTGTTTCGTAATGTTGGGATTTTGAGACAGGCGAAATATCTGTATGAAAACGGATTTTTTTTTTTGTTTTTAGTGGGAAGATTGGTGTGAGAGCTGAGATACTGATAAAGAAACTTTCGTCAGTGTGAAACATGATGTTAGATACATTTTAAATCAACGAATAAATGAGATGCAGTATAGAAAACTTGCCAACACATGCTTAATACCCTGTCTTTAACTTTAGCTCCCCGTTTGTCATGCAGAGGCCAGACTTCCTTGTCCCAATTTTGATCCTAAATATAATAAAATGTCTGTATTTTCATGAACAAATTGACAGGCAAGTAGTCATAAAACCAAACCAACAGACAAGCACATATAGATAGATATAGCCAGGAAAACAGAGACGCTGATATTAGTGATAGTAGTTATATACAACCCTTTCCCAAACATCAGGAACTTCAGACTAAAATATGGCAACAACAGAAACAGAAGTTTTGGTAAAAAAGACTAGTGGCAGAATGGAAATTTTTAATGAATCATACTAATACGAAGTTTTCTCAAATATGTAGTAAGCTCATAGTAAGTTTAGGTACGTAGAGCAAAGTCGGTAGAGCAACTGCCAAGAAGACGTGAGGTGCAAACCTGAGTCCGGTCAGGAGCGCGGTGTGAGCTAAGGATCATGAGAGTTAAGGGTTCCATCAACTGGAAGCTTCCCTGGTTCTGGGTGATGGAATCTGTGGTACAAATTATAACTGGTTTTTCTTATTTTCATGGATAACAATGCTCACCCAGGGTCAGGCCATGTGATATAAAGCGTTACGATGTGAAACACAGCCGTAGATGTTGTTACTGTTGCGACAAGCATATCTGTGTTCATATTTGCATGTGGACAAATACCTGTCTCAACAGCATATATTTTATTAATTCTGCTACAAGGGATGGTGTAGATACTTTTATTTTCCTTAGGGTTAGTTAGCATAACCCATCTTAGACCTGGTAACGTGTGATATTGGTGGAGATGACGTGAACAGAGATGAACTTAACGATATGAAAGAGTGGCATCGAGTTTCATAAAAGGCAAGACAGGCAGACAGATGCTGACAGACGATAAAAAAGCCAAATAAAGATACTCAGACATGCAGAGACCCATATACACAGATATATGTGCAACACCTGTGTATTATTATTTGAAGATGTTCCACCAGACAGCAGCTTTATGAATAGAGAATAATGATAATGTACAAAGAAAGTAGAATATTAGGTAATCAGCTTCTAAGTCTTATATACAAATGGTTTAGAAAATTGACAAGTATCTCATTTCTCAACTTTGCAGAACTAGACACAGAGGACAGTGGAAGATGAGGCATCAGTCTTTCAGCTTAGAATCCGGAGATCAAAGAAAGCATAGACAGGAAGCTGGACTCAAACTGGAGTTGGAAGAGTTGAAATTATCGTCACAGGATTCACCAGCGGAAGTAGAGTAAGACCAAGAGCTGAGTCCGAGCTTAGTGACTAAGTTCATGCAGATAGTCTCTGTACGAAGATTTTTATTGTGTAGCTGTGTCAGACAATAATTATTACAATTATTCTAAACAATAACAACAAGATGAGGAACTATAGACATGCACAACACTGGGTATCTTTATTTGAGGGAGTTTCGCCAGTGGCTATATTAATTCTGTACTGAGATGATACATGTAGAAAGGAAAAGACGAGGTAGTCAGTTCCTCAGCACAAGTGACTCCTTATATTCTCGGTATTGTATACTGACTGACACAACGGTACCATGGAATCTTGATATAGAAAATATCTCCTTCAACCTACTTGCTAAGCTCCGCCCCAACACTTGGGCATCACTTACTTTCACTAGTCGGTCCCGATCACCCGTAAAGATAACTTTAATTGCTCCACCTCATCTAACACTAGTATAATTAGTATATCATCTACCTGTTTATCCTTCAGATTAATCAAGACCAAGATCTTGATTAATCTGTGGGACTGATTACCTCATCTTCCATTATCTTGGGTCTGTAGCTCTGGAAGGGTGAACGACTGATTGTCTCATCCTCTACTGATTTTGTGTAATATCTCTGAATTGAATTAATAAAGCCACCGGTTGGCTAAATTTTATCAAATAATAATCACAGGTTTCTAATTCATCGTCTTGTCAGTATTGTATACCAATTACAATACAACTACGACGCCATTTTTATTGTTTACCATTGTTGTAATAGTACACATAGTAGGAAATTATTAATATACATCACTAAAAAGAACAGATAAGAGGTCAAGCATTTAAATATAAAAACTTGAGTATGAGAGCAATAGTAAACGAAACATGGGTAGCGTTCCCCGTAGAGTTACAACGATTATTAAGCGGGTGTTAACCACGGTTAATGTATCAGACCCAGTAAGAGTATGCAGCATCTGCCTGGATCCCACACCTTATGTAGCATATAATATAAAGAGAGAAAGTCCAGATATTTGCAACAAGACTGGTCGTAGAGCTCAGTGAGTTGCTCTATGTGGAGAAGATGAGAGAAGTGAACACTGATGACGGTAGAAGAAAGAAGCACCAGAGAAAACATGAATATAACGTATAAATTACCCAGAAGACTTCATAGGGCAGAGGTTTTATTCCATATTTTAAATCAGAAAACAGATATAAAACAAATAAAATGAGGCTGGAAAAAATCACAGAAATTATAGGACCGATACAAAAACTGGAATAAATGCCTCACTTTGCCTGTAAAGGAAAAGTCTCTAACTTTGTGCTTATTCTTATGGTTTCTCTGGTCGTGCGATAGTTTACTGGCTACATTTCCGTCATCTGTGAGTCTGTGACACACGCGTTCAATCTGAATTCTCCTACTTCAGCCTATTTTCTCTTCCTTCTGATTTTCTTTCCTTATGTAGTGAAGAAATCCTCGACTCTCACTTCATTCTGACTTCCCTTGTCCACTTATATCCTGGTGCTCTGGTTCCGGTTTCTGGCAATGTTTTGATTAAGTTAAAATTTGAGCTATTAGTAATTTCTGCAAATTTTCGTACATTATAGATTGAGTATGTGCTTATTACCATTAGTGTTAGAAAGTTATCTTAGGTTGTCTTAATGTAATTTTGTTTGCAACTCACCACCCATTTGATTTAGCTTCATGTATCTTACGTGTTATGCATGTAATATTTTAATGCTTTCTTTTATGTCAGCACCCAGGACTGTCTGAGCCCTCAGACGTGCGGGTGTTGTCATATACAGTTGTGTCTGTTAACTAACACAGAGCGAGCGAGCGATCACTTCCCTCAGTCTTCAGGTGTTCAACACACCTCCAGAGAATCTCTTGAGTCGTTCTGGCGCTCGGGCTGCGGCCTGAGTGCCAGAAATGGCTCAAATGGAGCAGAGCTTTAGAGAGTTGAAAGCCTCATACCAGCGAGGACACCTGCCCTGACACCACTTGAACCAAAGGCGTGTTGTATCCCAGCTACAAGGCGTCGACGACAATTGTAGGTAACTGCTACAGTACTTGTGCTGAAGAAGACTCACCGTGCCTTTGCCATAGGGCTGCCCCCGCTGTAGGGCTGTAAACGGTATACCGCCTGACCTGAAGAAGACTCACCGTCCCCCTGCCATAGGGCTGTAAACGGTACACCGCCTGACCTGAAGAAGACTCACCGTTCCCCTGCCATAGGGTTGTAAACGGTACATCGCTTGTACAAACTCCGACACTCCTTCGGGAGCCACTACCGAGTTACCACATGGAGAAGACCCGGGCCAGAACCCGTCCTGGCAAACCTACCTGAACCTGTAGAGTGAGCGTAAGTAGGCTACTAAGTGGTGAACCAGCCATCATTTGTAACTCAATTTTTCGTTTGTGTTTCTCTTTACTACAATCATCTATGATAAAGAGCCCCTCACAGCTTGTTTCAGGACGCATTCAGAGCGTCAGAATTATAGTTGAACAAGTCAACTGTTGTAGCACACTTGTTCTTGACTTCCTCCCCACTCATCTTAAGCTGAAGGCTGCCTGATCATCACCGATTGTTCAGACAGCGACTTAGCCACCATCCTCACCTGCCAGCTTGTTTACCACCGCCACACTCACTTGTCTCGAATGCTTTAACGGCTAAAAACTTTATCTCATTGAGAGAGAAGGTAACAATTCTCTTCAAAATTTTACAATCTACCATTCTGAAGTAAAGCAATCAACAACTTTCGGTTCTTCCAATCATATTCAAATATATAAAGAGGGCAATAACTTGAAAGTTTTTCTTCTTCTCTTTTTTAGTAAATGTCTACAGGAGAAGGGGTTACTAGCCCATTGCTCCCGGCATTTTAGTCGCCTCATACGACACGCATGGCTTACGGAGGAAAGATTCTTTTCCACTTCCCCATGGACAATAGAAGAAATAAAGAAGAACAAGAGCTATTTAGAAAAAGGAGAAAAACCTAGATGTATGTATATATATATATATATATGCATGTGCGTGTATGTGAAGTGTGACCAAAGTGTAAGTAGGAGTAGCAAGATATACCTGTTATCTAGCGTGTTTATGAGACAGAAAAAGACACCAGCAATCCTACCATCATGCAAAACAGTTACAGGTTTCTGTTTCACAGTCATCTGGCAGGACGGTAGTACTTCCCTGGGTGGTTGCTGTCTACCAACCTAGGGGGTGTTAATTTTGCAGCTTAAAAACTGTAGTGTAAAGCACCCTTCTGGCAAGACAGTGATGGAGTGAATGATGGTGAAAGTTTTTCTTTTTCGGGCCACCCTGCCTTGGTGGGAATCGGCCAGTGTGTTAGTAAAAAAAATAACTTGAAGCTAGTGTAAAATTGAATTAAAAAGGCGTTGCTCATATTGAAGTCGATTTGTAAGAGGAGAAATTTAACTCTACGAAGACTTTAAATATCCACCGGAAAATTTATGTAGAAAGGTTCTCAAGAAACCTTGAGCGTTAAGGCACAGCTACTTTCTCGGCAGGACTAGTGTCGAAACTTTAAAGCAGCAGTAATTTCTCTCACCTTCAGTATTTACTGCTCTCCTGGGTAGTCTACAGTTCATCTTACATTCAAATTATTTACAAGTTAAACGACTACTTAAAGCGGTTCATTTAGAGCATCGTCCAGGCTTTGTTGGGATTATTATTTAAGCCTCATTTAGAACATCGTCCAGGCTTTGTTGGGATTATTATTTAAGCTTCATATTATTTGTTTTAATGAGGGAGTAAATCCATGTGAGTCATATAGTGTCTGAGAAACAGGAGTAATTCAGATTTGAGAGGTCAGGCTTCTCCAGCTGGCTTCACATGGGCTGTCATCACAAAGTTGCACTTTTATTTTTCAAAAGCATCAAATTAGGTATCACCTTGTGCCATATAAGTAAGTTCCTTAGTAATGAATGTGTGTACAAATATATTAATTCCATAAAAACCTGGACAGGACCAACTTTGAAATCAGCTGATCCGGATAGCATCGTTTAACGTGATAAGTTCATGTAAGAGTTTATTCTTAATATTGCAGAACTCTCAGGTATATAAAGATAAAAGAACTAGAAAGAATGAAAGAGTTTGAGACGAAGAGCAAGTAAAGAAATAGAATGAAAAATACTGTGAGATAAATGGCTAAAGAAATAAAGCAACAGGCGCACAAACATACACTGACACACACACACACACACACACACACACACACACACACACACACACACACACACACAAACACACACACACACACACACGCACACAAGCACACTAGACTCTCCTACACTATTATAGCATCCCTGTTGTTCTGGCTTCACCAAATCCTTTGCAGATCTTCGTCATGGAGGCAAATACACCATTCTACACTCTGGTGTTCTACACGTCCTCACATGAGCCCCCACACGTAGCTCTAGGGCGGCACATGAGTCCATTCATAAATCCAGTGCATCTTATAAGCACACACACACACGTGTGGAACATCAAATGAGCTGACATACACGAATTAAGTGAATCACACGAACTTATACTCCCAGGTCTGAAACATCACATGAATCGCCCACATGCACGAGTAAGATATTAACCTACATGCATCATATTAACCTGCATATTAATCTACATGTATAACTATTGATCTTAACATGAACCCTAATGAGCCAAATAATTCTCAGGTTTGTAAAGCAAATCTCTCATATCTTAATAAGATGTATCTTAAAAACAAGTATTTTGCTATTAATTTTAGGCTCTTTTTGTGCCTATTTGCTAATTTTTCTTGCCAGTTTTATAATCTGGATTTTACTAAAAATAAAAAATAAAATCTTTTGTCTTACAGGATTGTATATAAAATAAAATATAAAGTAAATAAGAAAAGACGACTGGAAAAATATCGGCTGTTTTAAAATGGTTTTAAGCTTAACGAGGAGAGATTTCCTATTTACCGGAACATTTTCAACAATGTACAAGCTTCCTTTCCCACAATTTTTTGTTTTTCAAATTCAAATTCAAATTTTTATGTCTCATGTGCCGTACAAAGATAATGTAGATTGCATATAAAAGGAAGCGACTAGTATGCAAACGCATTTTGGCAAAGTAATTCTAATACTTAAGAACATCTTATACGACCAGTCTCAAACTTTCATGGCTAGTGTGATGCATAGTGGGAAGGTTCATTGATCTATTTACATGCCTGTGTAACCTATGTACAGTGTCACAAAGGGTACGCCCAGATTTTTCTTACTGTCCTACCTTATAGCACTATCTTGCTCTGATGCTGGTGCGGGGCTCTTTATCCAAGGAATTGGACTTATCTTCCATTCCTTGGCCTGAATTTCAATGCCTCCCATTCCAAAAAGGGTACATGACTCCTATGGGCTTAGCGGTTTTCCTTTGATTAGAATATAACAAATGTGAATGGCATCAATCTTGATGGTTGATGCATCGTATGAAATGTATGGAAAGTGTCAATGGTTTAGGCTGTGTAGGTATAAATTTTGTTGGATTTTGAGCAATAATCTGAAAATACTTCTTTTGGTCAACTTTAATCAACTTTTTTTTTTTTTTGGTGAAATAATTGGAGAATGTCTAAACTGATCAGAAATAAGTCACAGGGTTTGAATTTATTTGGTTACCATAAGTTAAATGAACTTAATGTTCATTTATATGTTATGTACACTAAGCTTACGTAAAACTTACTTTTTTAAAAGCTGGACAAGGTTAGAGACAAGCTTGGATTGATTTTGTCATGTGTCGGTTCCAATCTGCCTTTTTTATCGGAGGGAAACTGGAAAAATCTAAAAATCTGCTTTCCATGCGAAAAATCCTGAGTGTCACAACTAGTTAGCTTCGACCCATCCAGTAATTACTTGATAGCGCAACATCAAATCGGCTTCAAGCCGATTTGATGTGAATTAGATTTAGTCTGCGTATGTCAAAATTTACTATTTTTACTAAAGAAATTTGGACATTAGCTTCCATATAATGACTAATGAATGCCTCTTCTAACGTCCTTCAAATCTTCCAGGCTCCTGTTTAACTGCATTATCAACATATGCCGTTTTGTGCACTGTTACAGTCGTACGCAGTGAGGCTCAGGTGGCTGGGGTTAAGGACGACGGAGATACCTTCCTCGGATCCCCCAGTGGCCACAATACGTCTAGTTTCTAGTGTGTGAGGCATAGCAGAGGATTTATTGGCTATTAGAGAACATATACAGAAACAGGTAAACAAATGTAGATAGATTTGCAGCCAAATATGAAAAGTGAATTAAGGCAAGCAAGCTAGCAAACCAGCACACACACACGCACACACACACACACACACACACACACACACACACACACACACACACAACTCTTACCATTCTTGCTATGGCCTCTTCATCTCTGGGGCAAGACTCGCTGGGCACGTTCCTTGGGTTGAGGTAGTTCTTGCGAGCCTCGGTAACCTCGTCGTCTTTGTGGAATAGGAAGGTAGAACCAGACGTGGTGTCAGAGGTGGACACGTCAGAGTAACGAGGGCGTCGACGTCTCTCCACTCCTCTACACTCTGTGGACACGCACACACACACACGTCCTGGTTAATGTAAGTGACTTCTTGGTGGTGGTGGGTTAGTGGTTGAGGTGGGTTGGTGGTGGGTTAGTAATGACTGAGATGGTGGTGCGTTAGTAGTGGCTGATAGTGCCTGTGATAATGATGGGTTAGTGGTGGAGGTGGGATGTTGAGTTATTGGAGGAGATAGGCTGGTTGTCCATTGTTGGTGGTTGTGTTGGTAGAGATGGTGGTGGTGGATAAATAATGATTTTGGGTTAGCAGTGACTGTATTGAAGGTGGGTTAGCAGTGACTGTTGGTGTGGTTTAACAGTGACTGATGGCTTGGATAATAATAATAATAATAATAATAATAATAATAATAATAATAATAATAATAATAATAATAATAATAATAACAACAACAACAACAAAAACAACAATAACAACAATATAATAATAATAATAATAATAATAATAATAATAATAATAATAATAATAATAATAATAATAATAATAATAATAATAATAAAACAATAATAGTGAATTTTAAATTTATTTCAATAACGTCAGTAAAACCTTAATTACTATCCATGCTACCCTATTTCTCATTGCTGTATTTAGAAGACACTCATTTTCAACACTTTTTAACCCCAGTCTCATGGAAAAATGCCACAAATCTCCTTAGAGAATTAGGTTAACATTTCTTAAAGAAATACACACGTAAACACGAGCATTATGACCATAGTGAGATGTAGTATTATTACACTTGCATTAGAGATCTCAAAAAAACATTCTTTGATATTGTCAAAGATCACGAAACCTCTGTGAATTCTGCAACTTCTCACGGTCATTTTATTGCACGCTAAATATGCCCCCGTTTCTTGTGATCTTATTATACAGGACAATGTGCATCTCTCGGTGTACACTCAGAGTGTAATCTCTGGTTTACGGATTAAATCTTTGAGAACTGTTACACAGGGAAGCTGAAAGATTTAGGTTTGATGATAAGGGAAGTGAATTATGTGATAGAGAAATGCTACTTTGTGAAAGTTAAGGTTAACTGATGAGGTGAAAACTGAATTGATGTGTAAATTGATGTTCAATGATGAGGGGAAAACTGACGTTAATTGATGGGATGGAAGCTTAATATTACGTGACAATCTATACTTCACGATGAAGTCAAAAATTATACATGTGTGAAACTGTAAATGTCTGGGAGAAAATGCAAGTTTTGTTATGGGGTAAATTTGATTTCATTCACATTTTTGAAGGCAGGATATCTTGCAGGCGCCCCCTGTATTCTGTAGCCTGAATGATAGCGGCTGTGATGAGTGCCGAGACCCGCCTCTCTGCCCCGAGGATCATCAGCCTGTCAAAATTTGATTAGTTTCTCCACAAACAAGCAGGCACACACACACACACACACACACACACACACACACACACACACACACACACACACACACACACACACTTTTATTGCCAGAAATATGCTAAAAAAATTTATTATACAGTATTTTATTATTTTTCGAGAAGGATATTCTTGTGGAATTCTTGTCGTCAGCGAGAAAATATTTTTCGTGTTGTTTTATGAAAAGTTGAGCTACGTTGAAGTATGTGTGGTGGAGGTATGTTGTAGTTTGTACCTGGAGTCTACCTGGAGGGTATTCCGGGGATCAACGCCCCCGCGGCCCTGTCAACGACCAGGCCTCCCGGTGGATCAGGGCCTGATCAACCACGCTGTTATTGCTGGTCGAACGTAGTCCAACGTACGAACCACAGCCCGGCTGATCCGGCACCGACTTTAAGTATCAGTCCAGCTCCCTCTTGAAGACAGCCAGGGGCCTATTGGTAATTCCCCTTATGCTTGATGGGAGGCTGTTGAATAGTCTTGGGCCCCGGACACTTATGGTGTTTTCTCTTAGTGTACCAATGGCGCCCCTACTTTTCATTGGGGGTATTCTGCACAGGCTACACAGTCTCTTACTTTCGTAGGGAGTGGTTTCCGTGTGCAGATTCGGGACCATTCCGTCTAGGATTTTCCAAGTATAGATTATGATATATCTCCCTGGCCTGCGTTCCAGCGAGTACAAGTACATGCAGTGGAGGTATGTTGTAGTATGTGTGGTGGAGGTATGCTGTAGTATGTAGTGGAGGTATGTGTAGTATGTATAGTGGAGGTATGTTGTAGCCTGTTTGGTGTACACATGTTGTACTTTGTGTGGTGGAGGTATGTTGTAGCCTGTTTGGTGTACACATGTTGTACTTTGTGTGGTGGAGGTATGTTGTAGAATGTCTTTTGAGGAATGTTGGAGTATGTTTGGTGAAGGATTGCTCTAGTACGTGTGGTGGAGGTATGTTAAAGTATGTGTGGTGGAGGTATGTTGTATGTATGGTGGAGGTATGTTGGAGAATATCTTACGGAGGTATGTTGTAGTATGTATGGTGGAGGTATATTGAAGTATGTGTGGTGGAGATATGTTGAAGGATGTATTGTGGAGCTATGTTGGAGAATATCTTACAGAGGTAAGTTGTAGTATGTACGGTGGAGATATGTCTCCCTCCACTGCTTCGCTTGGAGGTAAAACAACCCCCACGTAACTAGGTAGTTAGTATCTCATCATCCTTGAGTTAAAACAACCCCCACGTAACTAGATAGTTAGTATCTCATCATCTTGGAGTTAAAACAACTCCCACATAACTAGATAGTTAGTATCTCATCATCCTGGAGTTAAAACAACCCCTTATGTAACTAGGTAGTTAGTATAATGGAAAGGTAACCAAGTGCCCCCTAAGACAATGAGTGGTTCCAACCAGAGTAGGCAAGTGTCTGCCTCCCAGCCAAGCTTTCAGGTGTGACGCCACCTTGGCTGGAGAAGCGTGCTCTCACTTCACTGGTGGACTGAAGTGGACAATAAATACAGCAGTGGGGGCCCAGAACTGTTACACTCTGAATTGCCAGTTGGCTGGTCGGGAAATGCGTGACTCTGGTTGTGCGGCGAACGTTGAATAGAGAGAAAGATACCTCGGGGCATGCCACAATGAACAACGGGGGCCACAAACAGAACGATCAACAGAAACCACGAACAGAAGGATCAACAGCGACAACAAACAGAACGATCAACGGAAACCACTCACAACGTTCAACGGAGGCCAGTAATTGAACGATCACCGGGCCAGTAACAGAATAATCAACGGAGGCCAGTCACAGAATGTTACGAACATAGTCAGTTGGTCCCTGGGTTATAGTGCTTTTCGTAACTAAATAAACTTAGTACGTCTAGGGGTCTTCACTCGTAGAGGAAAAGGAATTTTCTTAGTTTCTATTTAATTTATTAATAATCATAATAATCACTTAAATCCACCTTCTCATATTTTGCACTGTGAGTAGAATACTTTTACAATTTCTCATTAAAACATCACAGTACTAGGTCAAGTATTTACAAATGGTTCTGAGTGAGTCACGAAATATTAGTATATGTACATGCACAGGCGTTGCTTAAAACCTTGAACACATTAATAGATTTCTTATGATAGGGTTCACTTTACAATAAGCCTTCTTACACTACAGAGGCTTGCTCACTTGGTTTCACTTTCTCTAAGAGCTTCTTAACCGCCTTCTCCAACCGAGATAAGTCTTAGCAATGAGTTCCCGAAAATTCCTGGGATTTTCTAGGGAAGCGAATGGTGGTTTTAGAGGTGGATACTCCCCTAGACCCTTCCTGGTCCAGAGGAAGGTATGAACTGAACTCAGTGAGGCTTTACCAGCCCACTTTGTCTCGGTCGGAGCAGGGGTTGAGCAGCTCAAAACACCTACTGGTGCTTGGCCAGGTTGCACCAGCAGTTGATACTAATTAAACAACCTACCTATATACAAAGCTAAGTAATACGACCAGATAATATTATAAAGTCGAGTAAATCCATTTTAGCTACTAATGGAATTACTCCTGAATATAATATTAAGTGAAATAACAAAAATAACATGTAAAAGTATACCATTGTGATAATAACAAATAGAAACAGTCTACTTAAACTGAACAAAACGGTGTAACACAGAACTATCAACGGATGCCAGTAACAGAACGATCAACGGAGGTCAGTGACAGAACGATCAACGGAGGTCAGTGACAGAACGATCAACGGAAGTCAGTGACAGAACGATCAACGGAGGTCAGTGACAGAACGATCAACGGGGGCCAATAACAGAACTATCAACGGGGGTCAGTAACAGAACGATCAAAAGAGGACAGTAACAGAGTGATGAACGGAGGTCAGTAACAGAACGATCATCTGAGGTCAGCAACAGAACGATCAACGGGAACCAGTAATAGAACTTTCAACGGAGGTCAGTAACAGAACGATCAACGGAGGCCAGTAAGAGGGCGATCAACGGAGGCCAGTAACAGAACGAACAGCGGAGGTCAGTAACAGAACGATCAACGGAGGCCAGTAAGAGAACGATCAACGGAGGCCTGTAAGAGAGCGATCAACGGAGGTCAGTAACAGAACGATCAACGGAGGCCAGTAACAGAACGATCAACGGAGGCCAGTAACAGAACGATCAACGGAGGCCAGTAACAGACGATCAACGGAGGCCAGTAACAGAACGATCAACGGAGGCCAGTAACAGAACGATCAACGGAGGCCAGTAACAGAACGATCAACGGAGGCCAGTAACAGAACGATCAACGGAGGCCAGTAACAGAACGATCAACAGAGGCCAGTAACAGAACGATCAACGGAGGTCAGTAACAGAACGATCAACGGAGGCCAGTAACAGAACGATCAACGGAGGTCAGTAACAGAACGATCAACGGAGGCAGTAACAGAACGATCAACGGAGGCCAGTAACAGAACGATCAACGGAGGCCAGTAACAGAACGATCAACGGAGGCCAGTAACAGAACGATCAACGGAGGCCAGTAACAGAACGATCAACGGAGGCCAGTAACAGAACGATCAACGGAGGCCAGTAACAGAACGATCAACGGAGGCCAGTAACAGAACGATCAACG